TAGGTGATAAAGATGTAAGTGTAACCATAGATATTGTAGATACAGGTGTATGTAGATACAGATGTGATATAGATGTTGATACAGATGATGTAGATGTGGGTGGAGGTAGAGATGCAGATGTCGATGACGGAGAGGTAAGTGCAGGTGTAAATGTAGGTGATACAGGTGTCAGCGTAAATAACAGAGGTGTTGAAGATGATGCAGGTGCAGAAAATGTAGATGTGGGGTGGATATACATGCAGATGATCCAGACAAATGCAGATGGCAGAGTAGGTGTCAGACATAGATGTAGAGGTAGGTGTAGGTGTAGATGATACAGATGTAGGTTAGGTGATGTGGGTGTAGCTATATGTAGGTGTAGTAAACTACATGTAGGTATAGTGTAGATGTACACACACAGACGCTGTAGACACAGATGTGGACATAAGTACATGTGTAGGTGCAGACACGGTCACATAGATGAACATGGAGGAAATGGAGAGTAGCTGATGCAGGTGTAGATGTGGATGAGGCTGAGACAGAGACAGAGACACTTGCCAGCAGAGTTCATGTCCCAATCCATCGTGCGGAGGAGACCAGACAGCCTGCTGGCAGCCACAGCACTGACTGGCCAGGTGCTCAGAGTCACCATGGCAGCAGCAGTAATAACACCAACTGCTCTGAGCGCTGGGCCAGTTCCAGGTACTGTTCAGGCATCTCGCCGGCTGCGTCTCAATAACCACACCTGGTCATCCTTTCAGCTAAGGCGTTCCTGTCCCCAGAGACCTGTGGAGCCGAAAAACACCTTGACATCCAAACACTCCCACGGTCATCTTCATCACCTCTCCCCTCCCCAACCATCACTCACGCCAGAGTCCACGTCTCTGTTGCAAACCCATTCATCCTCCGCCTCCCCCACTAGCATTCCAGACCCGTGAGGTCCTGGATTTGGGGGTCTCCTTCTGGTGGCTCAGACAGTAAACAATCTGCCTGCAATGGGTTGGGAAGATCCCTTGGAAAACAGAATGGCTACCCACTCCAGTATCCTTGCCTGGAGAATCCCCTGGACAGAGAAACCTGGCGGGCTATAGTCCAGGGGGTCACAAAGAGTCAGACACGACTGATCAACTAACACTTTCACTTTCCGGCCACACACCCTACAGCCTGGAACTGGCACATGGAAAAACGTGGAGCAAGTAAGTGGTTCTGTACCCACAGGCTCTGCCCACCCCGACCCCACCTGTTGCCTTCATTCTCGATGACACGATGATACCGGTCCAACTCGTTCCTCAGAGTCTGCTGGGCGACCACCAGCTGCCGGCAGTCATAGGATGACCTCTCCAGGCTCCTCTCCGCCTCTTCAATCTCCTTCTGCAGGGTGTCGATCTGCTCGTTGTAGAGCTGAATCTCCTTATCACACTTGTGGGCATCTCTGACAGCTTCTTCCAGGACCGCGGTCTGCAGGCAGAGACACGGTCAGGAGGAAACCCAGCCATCCTCTCCCTTCAGACACAGACGTGGCAGTGGAGAATCCAGATAGCATACCCAGTTGTATTTGTCTTATTGGTTTGTTTCTCTGTCAGCAGAGAATCTTTAAGCCACAGAAGGATGTGACAAATGGACCCCTTCCCCTGACGCTTGTTCAGCACCCCCGTAAATCAGCCTGTAGCGGAGCCCCCGACCCAAGGCAGTAGGAAGATGAGAAACTCAGAAAATAAAAACTGCTGTCCCTGGACTGACATGTACAACTCAGAGTGCATTCTTCATACTTTACTGAGGTAGCATGAAAAAGCAGCAAAAAGAAGAACATGGACTAAAGAGGTAAGATGCTATAATCATTAAAGGGAGGGGTGAGACATTTCCTTCATCTTATTCAATCACTACAGCACTTTAATTTTCTCCTGATTTCTGACCAGGAGAGTTACATATATGTTTTGATAGCTAAAATGTGTGTGTTTCAACAACCCAAAACCTATGGGACACTGTAAAAGCAGTGCTAAGGGGAAGATTCATAGCATTACAGGCCTACCTCAAGAGACAAGAAAAAAGTCAAATAAATAACCTAACTCTACACCTAAAGCAACTAGAG